CTTGCTCAATTCCCAATCTTTTTCAATCTCCCACTACAACTCAAACCAAAATACAATGATTTCCCTCACTGTCCTCGTATTTCTGAACTTCAATTAAAATAATTTCCTTGCTTTTTGCTTGTTCTTTTTGTCAAACTTCAAAATAACCAAGATTGGCCACACAAATGAGAATAGGTTCGTTCCAAAGTCTATTGTTTAAATCTCCTTTGATGACTTCAAAATCATCATCTGCTTTTCCTAACTTTTTGAGCCATCTTTTATACACTTCTCATACCTCGCAACCACTGCTGCTTTTTAATACTGACCAACAAACCTCTACTTGATTTATGGGATTGTCTGTTTTTGTGGCCTGTCCTCACTTATATTCTGCAAGCATTAGACCTCTTAACTTCCCTTCCCTGTTAAGATAGCAACCCATAGTGTCAACCCTATCTCCTTCGCTTTTAAAGGATTTATTTTTGGGTATCGTTCACTCATCTTCTAAAAGAACCAAATTCGGAAAAATGTCTGAAAAGAAATCTACCAAAAATGGATGGAGGTCAGCAAGTTCACGCACAAAGTCTTTAAGCGAGTATTTTTGTCTCTCTCTCTCTCTCCATGATTTTCTGTCATATTATAATTTATCAATTGGAAAATTTTTTATTGAGAATGAATGAAACGCTGCGTGACGATTTAAAACTATAATAAGAGGTATGTATATGTATACATATTTTCTCAACACCAACCAATTATGCAAAAGAAAATAAATAATAAAAAACAAAAAAATCCGACTAATAAGTTCTGTGAAGGAGAACCAATGACAATGAACGAAGAAGAGTTCAAAAGATTTGAAGCACTGATGAAAGCAGCATTGAATACTCTTCCTATTACCAACAAGGAAATAATTGCTAAGTCAAAGGCTCGGACAAAAGCCAAAAGAGAGCAAAGAAAAAGTTAACCAATTAATTCTTGATAAGTTAACTGATTATTCAAACTTGATTGGAGGATTAATTCAAATCTTTCTTGTTCACTAAATTTCCGAGTATTACGATGAAAAACAAACTCATCTACATATTTTTGCGAATGTTTTCGGCTTATTCAATGGTAAGTTCCATCAATGAGTTTTTTGAAATGAGAATTAAAATTCTCAACTAAATTAGTAGAAGCCTTGCCATTCACATATTCTTTTTTCCTATGATTAACCATTCTATGGTTATATCATTTTCCCAAATTGTTGTAAGCACGCCATTCATCAGTAAAAACATTAGCACCTTCTTTAATATTGGCTCTAATTATTGGTTCCAAAGTTTTTTGTTTAACATCAGACGCTACTTGGGCGATTGCGTTGCCACCTCTCTCTTCCATTACCAACACTGGAATTTTATCTTTTCCACTCCGACCTTGACATTGGGGAACTTTCTTATTTCAATGTCGATTAGAATTAGCACCTCCCAAATAAGTTTCATCAATTTCTACCAAAAAAAATAGCAGCCTGTTTTGATTTGTTATTTCCGGAAATTGGGGAGTTGGTTGGTGGAAGTTTGCGTGAGGATAATTACCAGACTCTACAGGAAAAAGCCAAGCAAAGGAATTTAAATGTTGACAAGTTAAGTTGATATTTTGATTTACGGAAGTATGGCTATGCTCCGAGCGGTGGTTTTGGTCTAGGCCTAGAAAGGCTAATTATGTTTATTAGTGGCACCGAAAATATTCGAGACACAGTTGCTTTTCCGCGGTCTTTTCGGCACTGTGACTTTTAATGGTTGAACGAATTTGCTAGAAGATTTTGGCTAAAATTTTCCTTTCGTTTTTCTGGATACGAATTAATAAGGGAATTTGCTAGCCATCCAAAACCCCTAAAATTGTCATAATAAATGCTTTAAAACCTAAAATATGAACTACGAAAACTGAATTGAACAAAATCTCATTATTATCCTCTTTACCATCATCTTGCTGTGAATTTTAGCAGTGTTGATTGTGATTTACCAAGGACCTTATTGAATAATTACGCGTTTTATAACTATTAAAGGATTACAAAAACAAATAAAGGACTGTGCTCGGTGTCGCTCGTGGCGAAAAACCATGGAAGGAGCAGGGTGAAAAGAACCAGAGAATTATTGTGTCGAACACACCATAAAAATCGAAGAGAAATGTGGCACCATAAGTAATTATGAGAAAAAGTGTTAAAGAATGTTATCATTTATCACAGTTCTGACGCACTATTCATTTACTTAATTTGATATAAATGCGAGGAAAAGCAATTTCCTCACTGGGGGCGTGACTGGCTTGTTTTTTTTACTTAGTGCCCCAAAAGACAACTTCTAGTAAGAATTTTTTCAAAATTTTTCGCCAAAAAAATAACCCCGTTTTCTGGATACGAATCTGAAAGGAAGTTTATTAGCATTTTTACCTAATTTTTTTAGTCCTAAAATTGGGAGAATAAAAGGTTTATAATATAAAATATGAAGCAAAATATTCCTAATGAAAAACAAAAATCCTGGTCTGCCAACACGGCTCAAAAAATCCAAGCACTCAATCAGCAATTAGCCCGGACGCAAAACCGCGAGGAAAGACAGGACCTCGAGACGGCTTTGCAAGCACAATGAGACTACTTGAAGCGAATTGAGAAAGCCGTTGACCAAAGACAGATTTACCAATCCCTTTCCCAAACTGAACGAGAAAAGAAATGAGAAGAGTTGCGAACGAGATTAACTACCTGAGAGAACCAAACTGAAGGCGAGCGAGAGCAAATTAGGTATGATTTGTTTGCCCTTTTAGATCGTTCACAAATTCAGGACCAAGTCGTAGCCAACTTGAGAAAGCTCGGAACTATTCTTAATCCCAAGGCCTTGAGTAATCTCAAATCTTTCTCAGAAGGAGGATGGTACGATAGTGTTAACTGAGCCTTAGAACAATTAAGTAATAA